GGCTTTAAAACAAAAGGTCGAGAGACCAGGGACAAACGGAAGACCAATGATGAGCAGGAGTAAATCAACTCATGGATGATCCCTTCAGCTTGCTTTTGTGGCTTATATGTCACCCCTGGCTGCCACACAGAATGGAAACCAAGTCCCTGCACGCAGCTGTCCACGAAGGATAGCACATGGTCTCCTTGTCTGGGCTGGCAGCTCGGGTCACATGAGGCCATTTCAGGAGTTGCCAGGTTGAGGGTGGGAACCAAGAACAGGTGACGGTGTGGAGTCTGGTTTTGGTGCCATTGGAAGGGATAAGAAGGGGGAGAGAACGAGCTGAGAGGTTCCTTTGTGCCCAGACACTATTGCAGCCCTGACTGGTCTACTGCTGCAAGTCTTAACCCCTCTTGCAGCCAACACCCCAAGTGCCATTCTCACCACGTCATTCCCCTGCTCAGAACCTTCTTACACTGCTGTGCAGGCTCGAGTTCCACCCCTTTAGCCAGACCCTCAGTGCCCTCTGCCCCCATTCTTTCATTCATTCATTCACTCACTATTTATTGAGATTGTGGCTGGCCCTGTACTAGGACTATAAAAACAAAGAGGAATAAGATTTGGACTCTCCTGGAAGGCACTTTAAAGTTTGGGAGACAAGGAGATAAAGAGGAATGTTCTCACTCTTCCCCTAAAAACCCCCTTTTCTTCCAGCCAGACTGCCCAGAGTTCCATGAACACCCACTGAATTCCCACCTCTGTTGTCTCTGCTCCCGTTTCACCATCTGCTCCATCCCCTACAGCAGTCAGTGGTCGGCAAACTGCGGCTCACGAGTCGTGGTTTGCCGCTCTGTTGACTAATGAGTTTGCTGACCACTGACCTAGACTCTCACTTCCAATAATTACAAGTTGTTGTTCTTTGTGATTAAGCCCTATGCCAGTGGTTGCCAAACCGCGGCTCTCGAGACCACTGCTCTACAGGAACCGAAAAGCAGCCCCCATTGCGAGGCCTCGGCTTCAGCTTCCCTTCCTCCCTGGAACCCTCCCTGTGGTTTCTGGTCCACCGGGCCCCTCTCCTTCTCCGATGTCCCCTAGCACTTGGTTGTAGCAATGGCACTCATGGTGCCCTCACTGTGCACTGGCTGCCTCATGCACAGTCTCCCATCGTGGTTTGGCTGCTGATAATGTCTGTGAGACCTTTATTCATAGCGATGATACGATCATCGTGGACATTGGAAGAACGCTTCACCAAGTGCCTACAGGTGTATTATCTTTTGGCCTGTCTTGCTTGCCAACTAAATTACAGGCTTCTGGGAAGGTGGGCAGGGAAAGGTGGACTGTAACACGACTCTAAGTGGCTGTCACCGTGTTCTGCAGTGAATGCTCAATTAATTTACAGATCAGACAGTCTTGTCAGGGAAGAGCAGAGAGCCTTACGGCAGCAGCTGCCCCTCTTTGCACGGCATCTGGGTCAGCACAGCTGCACGGGAAAGGCGTGTCAGTGACACAGGTCCAGCGGCAGGGCCACTGCCCACCGGCTGACCGGTAAGAAGTGGGAGGTCTCCTCACTGCTCCCCGGCAGGCTGGTCTCCGCACTGTCACTGGCACTTACGGGATGTGGCAGAAACAGTAAATCACTTAAGTGCCAGCCTACGTGACATCAAGAAGGTCCGAACTCTGTCTTAGCACCATGTGGTGGGCTGCCTCATTTTCCCCATTCACAAAAGAAGCCCCAAGAAAGGCCCCTCGACCCATGCCCAGCGAGGGAACAGCATATGCCTTAGACCAGGAGCAGCTGGAGAGAGATGACTCCTTGTATTATGCGTGTTGGAATCTCCAGGTCTCAGCACACCGAGCCTACTGACAGGACACAGGCACAGTTTTGACTGGATAAACTCATGAATATGACTCGGTAGTGCTTGTTTTCTTGGCTCTTTGACTAGTCCCCTGAGTGCCCCTTCCATCTCTATGGAAAGCTTGCTATATCTGGACAAGGGGAACGCTTTTTCTGACCATCCCACTCCTTCCCCACGTCTTCATTAATGCTGAAAAACACACCCGAGATGAGGCAGAAGAAGCTTCCAACAAGAATGCATTTAAGAGACCCTGTGGGCAGATTTTAAAAGGCTGATGTGAATAAAGACATGGGCTGTGAGGTTCTCTTCCACAGAATGTAAAATCCTAAACAGTCCTCTGCATTCTGGGACACGGTGGGCCCAGCCAGCAAAAGCAGAGAAAAATTGCCCTAGCTGGTGGATAGAGCATTGGCCTGCAGGCTGAAGGCTCCCGAGTTCCATTCTGGTCAAGGGCACATGCCCAGATTGTGCGCTGGATCCCCAGCAAGGAGTGTGCAGGAGGCAGCCGATCAATGATTCCCTCTGTCTCTCATCATTGATATTTCTCTCTCTCTCTCCCTTCCTCTCTGAAATCAGTAAAAATATATTTTTAAAAAATGAAGCAGAGAAAAAATGAGGAGTGCTGCCTCCAGGTTTGAGGTCGATATACCAAGAGCCTGTGGGGACAGGAGGGCTAGGGTGCTGTGGGGACACCTCCACCTCCAGTTCACTGGTTCACCTCTGCCTATACAGTGGCGGCCCCAGAGGGATTCTGAGGCAGTCCCGCCACCTGTGAGGGGAAACTGCCCACTTACCTGTCCAGCTGGAAGGCATGTCTAAGATGGGAGAAGACCAGGCAAGAGAGACATGAAGGAGAAGGGCTGGTGATCAGCGATGTGGGGGGACAGGGACTCAACACATCGTGGGCAGATCACGGGAATTCTCGCTTCCTATCACACAGTGTTTTACAAAGGCCCACACTCTAGGAAGATATTAGCTTATAAGAACATGTAATGAATAACTTCAAAATGTAATGGGTGTTTAATTTTAAAGCGTGCCTTTAACATTTAGGTAAAACGTTTTTTGTACTCGTTCAGTAGAAACTTATCTGGCCCCTGGTAAGCTAACAATAAAACTACTGGGACGCAGTGAGTTAAGGACAGTTTTTCACAAGCTTCAGAAGGGTCCACTTGGTATTTCAGAAACGTCAGTCCTTCTTTTGTCTGTGGGGTGGGGGGACCGTCCCCTAGGGGGCTCCACAACACCAACCGAGCAGGAGCCGGAGAGCTCCTGAAGTGAGGTGGGCGAGTCAGGCTCTCCAGGGAAAAACTCTGGCCACTCCTAGAACACGAAACGTGGTCAGGTTGCCAGAATGCAGACTACTGCTTTGTACGCAAGGGCCAAGGTCCCCAGACAGCCCACCGCCCTCTGCGAGGGCTCAGCAGCTCTTGGCATCAGGCCCATCCCCAACATACCCACTGCCAGCTTCTTTAAGCACCACCCTGCTGCCCTTTGTCCCCACAGCCGCACCTGCCCTCATGTCCCACCTGGCTCCTCAGCCACACTCCCTTGCTCACTCCCAGGCCTCCCTCTCCCGCCTCCTCCTTCCTCGGAGCTTCCCCAGAGGCAGGCGGCCTCCTGGCCTCTGCGCCTTCCCCTCCCTCCGAGATGTCTCTCCTCCAAGCGCCTGGACCTCCTAGGAGCCTGCCTTACAGCTTCTCTTGGGAAAATGAAAACCAAGTCCCTTGAAGATAATGAAGCAAAGAGAGAATGAGCCCCTAGGACCATGGTCGGCAAACTGCGGCTCGCGAGCCCCATGCGGCTCTTTGGCAACCCTGAGTGTGGCTCTTCCACAAAATACCACGGCCTCGGCGAGTCTGTTTTGAAGAAGTGGCGTTAGAAGAAGTTTAAGTTTAAAAAATTTGTCTCTCAAAAAAAGAAATTCCAATCGTTGCACTGTTGATATTTGGCTCTGTGGACTAATGAGTTTGCCGGACACTGGCCCTAGGAGCTCAGTGATGGTAACATTACCCAGTTTCCCTCGTGTGTGAGCTCGTGCTAAGTGCTTTTACGAGCAGTCTCATTTATTCCTCCAAACTCCTTAGTAGGTAGGTACTGTTATTATTCCCATTCTACAGAGGGAAAACTGAAGGTCGGAAGCTTAGGTGACATTCAAGGTCGTGTGGCCCCAGAGTGCAGTCTCCAGGTCTGTCTGACAACAAAGACTGTGTCTCAGCCACAGGCCCCGTTCCTCGGGACTCCGCGGGCTCCCTCTCCTCTCTTGGCAAGAAGTGTGTGTTGGGAGGGAGGGCGGAAGCTTCAAGTGCTAGGGCCCTGCCTGACCTGACCTGGCGGGGAGGGCACCTGGGCAGCGCTGAGGCTACTCCAGGCATCCGCCAGGGAGCCTGTTAGATGGGGTGTAAGTCCCTCAGCTCACCCCTCCCCAGGAGCCCCCTCAGCGGGGAGGCACCATGCCCTGCCAGACAAGTGATCTCATCACTGTCCTGTCTGCGATGCCACCAGCCCGTCCCTCAAAGCCCAGGCGCCAGCATTGCCCGATCAGAGACATATTCCAAAGGGGTCCTGCCTGCCTCTGACCCCCTGTCCAGACAGGTAGTCCTGCCGTTCCTCAGCCTCCCTCAGTGCAGCCGCTGCTGCTCCAGAGCTGGCTCTAAGGGGCCCCTTTCCCATCTCCTCCGAGCCCTCCTCTGTGCCCCACCTGGCGGCTCACCTGGTCCCACAGTGCCCTGGACACTCAGTCCCTGGGCCCCTCCCTCCTCCTTTCTTCCTCTCCAGGCTCCACGGTGTGTCCCCCTTGAACTCAGTGACTTGGCTCCCCACCGTGAACCCCTCTTCTGAGCAAAGGCTTTTCAACCGGGGGGTGTGGGGGCGTCATCTCAGTGGCTGAGGTCCCCGCCGCCCCAGCTCAGGGCACCCAGGCCTACACCCGCCCGGTTCTCCCGGCCCCGCGGATCCCATCGCTAGTCAAGGGCAGCAGCAGGGAGGACCCCTCGCTCGCCTCCAGGAGCCGAGGCTCACGACCCCCGCCGGCGGCCCGCACCCCGGGATGTATGCCCTCCCCTGGCCTCTCAGATCCCCGTCCCTTCCCTCCGGGCCCGGCTGCCAGACAGGGGCGCCGGGCAGGTGGCGGCGGGGAGGTGGGGCGCCCGGGCCGCCGCCCCTTACCGATGGTGGAGATGTGCGAGGAGTGGAACTCGTTGTCGGTGAAGCGGCACAGCAGGCAGGTCTTGCCCACCCCGGAGTCCCCGATCAGCAGCAGCCGGAACAGCACGTCGTACTGCTTCGCCATGGCGGGGGCGCGGCGCCGGGCTGCGGCGCGCGGCGGGCTCAGCCCCGCTCGGCCGCTGCCATCGCGGCGCGCGCTGCCGGGGACGCCGCGGGCGGGCGGGGAGGGAGCGGGCGGCCCCGCCAGCCCCGCCAGCGGGTGCCGGGAAGCGCCGCCGGGAGCGCGGGGGGGAGGAGGGAGCGAGGCCCCCGCACGCCCCTTCCCCTGCGCCGGGCGGGGAGCGCGCGAAGGGCGCGCGGGGAGCAGCGACCCCGCGGCGGGGGCGAGGCCGGCGCGCGCTCCCCTCCCGCGGGGTGCGCGGCCCGGGAGGGGCCCACCTCCCTCCACCCCCCACCCTCGCCCCCACCCCCACCCCCACCCCCTTTGTGCCGGGAACTAGACTCCAGGGGGAACATTTTTGTTTTTCTGCGGACATTCTGCAGGGGTGAGTTGGAGGGAGCTCCCATGCAGCCCACCTCTCCCAAACGGCTTTTAGGTCTCATCTTTTTCCCCAAAAAAATTACATCCCTCGAACCCTTGAACCTGGTCCTGCCAACCTGCCAACTCCGCCTTCCGCCCACCCCCAGCTTCCCGCCGCAGCAGAAGCCTGGTGGTGGTGGTGATGGTAGCGTGTGTGTGTGTGTGTGTGTGTGTGTGTGTGTGTGTGTGTGTGTAGGGGTCTGGCGTTGAGGGGTTAGTGGGGCTGGGGGGTGGAGGGGGGTGAAGGAGCCCAGTGGTTGGGCCTCACCTAGGCTCATCCCAGTCGGAAGGCCCAGGGTCTGCATTGCATTGAAACACTTGGAGCTGGCATCTCCAGGACACTGGAGAGTGCTGCTAGAATTCTCCCTGGCTGCCATCCTGCTCGCCCATCACCCCGTGTGACTGCGCCTGCCCTCCGCTGTCCTCCCCCATCCCAGGTGTCCTTTACACGGGGGCATGGCTGACCTCCTTCACCAGACCGAAAAGATCGATGACCATAAAAAACGTTCCCAAATGCAAAGTCCTCTGGAAACGTCGTGCAGGCAAAAGTTCTCTGTTTTGGGTCTAAGCTGCTCAGGGTAGGTGTTCGGGATGCCAATGCATTATTTCGAGCCACTAAGTGTTTCTGCTAGTGTACATAATGGCACCGAGGGATGAATGGGCCTCTTTCAAGATCTAATTTACTGCCGCTGAATATGTTAGCACTGGAAGGAGGCAAATAAATGTTCTCTGGAGCCTAGAAAATTGCCTATTCCTAAGAATGAGTGTTAGGGGAGTCTGGCCCATTCGATCTTTAAAAAAGTGATGAAAAAGTGTGTGTGACTTTTCAGGCTGAGTGTTGGACGGAGAATGTGTTTTTCAGGAGTAGGTCATGCAAAGCACTGAGTGCATTTACTTGAAGAGTTCTAGTTGAGGCAAGGTGCCAAAATTTATAATAAAAAGGGAGACAAAAAGTCTTGAATTGGAAAGCTATTTTGATTACATTAAAATCTAAGGAAACCGATCCTGTGGATCCCAATACGATTTCCGGGTGTGTTTCTCTTCTCTGGACTCCATGCACGCGGAGGGCTCTGCTGTTGGGCATCCTTGGGTTTTGCCCAAACTCCTCCATTTACCAGTTATGCAACCTTGAGCATGTTCCTGAACCCTTGTGCCTCAGTTTCCTCATCTGTCAGATAGGATTGTTGGAAAGATAATAAAATAATTTGTGGAAGGGGACTTAGCAGAGTACTTGACACACAGTACTCAAGAAATGCCGAGAGGGAAACACACCCTGTAATGTTTTCCCTGTGCACATGTGGGTGGTGAATACATCCCTCCAGCTGGTCAGGGATGCTTTCCAGACTCAGGCCTGTCCTGCTGTGACTTTCCTCCACAGGCCCAGACACAGTACCGAGTGCAGGTTCAACTCAACATGACCCCGCCTGGGCCCGCAGAGGCCTTCCCAAGGTCGGCCCTGTCCCTGTCAGTGCTCTCCCTGGGCCTCGTCCTGGGACCATTAGTGGCTTCTCTGCTTGCCTCTCTCTGGGGAAGCAGGAAAGAAGTTGCCAACGGAGATGAGTTCTTAGTCTAAGAAAGAAACGTCACTTCGAAGGAAATGGCTTTCCCTAGGCAAGATAGGAAAGGAAGTGAGATTTCCTGAATAAATCCAGGGACACCAATGCCCAGACTCATAAAAATAGAAGAAGAAGAAGAAAAGGAGGATATTTCTTCATGCTGGGCTCATCTCAAATTCAGTAGCTGACATGGCTTAAGAAGGGAGTGGTGGGAGGTGGGGGTTGGGGGGGTGGGAGTGGGGGGAATGGCACCAGGAGAGAGCATGATAGCTCCACATCCTTTCCCCACACCTTGCTGCCCCAAGTGCCTTTCTTCTGTCCGGCTGTTCCTGAGCTGTATCCTTTTATAATACTGTATATCTATATCTATATCTATATCTATATCTATATCTATATCTATATCTATATATAATTGATTTTTTTACAGAGAGGAAAGGAGAGAGAGATAGAGAGCTAGAAACGTCGATGAGAGAGAAACATCGACCAGCTGCCTCTTGCACACCCCCTACCGGGGATGTGCCCGCAACCAATGTACATGCCCTTGACCGGAATCGAACCTGGGACCTTTCAGTCTGCAGATCGATGCTCTACCACTGAGCCAAACTGGTTTCAGTTGTATCCTTTTATAATAAACTGGTGATCTAGAACATATGTGAAGGAACAGTCTAGAAGTCCAAGCTTCTAGATTTTCCATTTTCATCCTGGCTCAGCTACTTGAAAGATGGTTCTAAAGAGCCATCATACGGATTTTCCTCTTTCTCTTTCTCCCGTGTGCGCATGTGTGCACATACCTACACGCTGTGAGATGTTGGAACTGAGATCGTAGGACAGTGTTAACACAAGAACCACCTACGCTGACTGGAGACAACAAAGTTTGTTTTAGCCAGGGTCTTTGTAAATGAAATAACCCAATTTCATCATCCCCTTACCTTAGGCGCTCAGTGGAACATTTGGGCATCCTCCCCAGTTGAGGTCAGCTTGGACTGGGGCAGGTTTTGGTAGAACTGGGAGACATCTGAGGAATGGTTGCCGGATGTCTCTCCCACAAGAAGCCTCCAGGAACCAGTCTCCCAATTACATTATTCTGATTCTCTCACCAGGGAGACAAGTGCCTGCTCCTGCTCCCTGCTACCGCCAGCCCAGCCACCACTGAGCATGCTCCCAGCAAGAGCACCACTGTGGGATCTACCATAGCAACAGCTGAATAACTGGAGAGATGAATTGGTAGGCAGTTCACTGCCAAGACTCAGCATAGTCAGACCCCGGGACTCCTCATTAGCAAAACCCCGTGCCCCTTCTAGGCTCATTCCCGTGTTTCCCACTCTGGGGGGCTGTCAGCGGTGTCCTCACCTTGCAGAAGGGTTTCCACCTTATCTTGGGATTAGAAGGAACAGGCAGACCCCCTGCACCATCTTCTCAGTACTGTCCTCCATTCACATCCTTTTTCTTTTCTCTCTCTGATACATAGAGAAAGGGGGAAAGAGACTCTGAAATGACAAGGAAAGAGGGCAGAGGGCACGTTGTCAGAGACTTGTGTAAATTGGGATCGGGGACCAAAGGAGACCATGCTGATGGTAGTTTGTGTTAACCCCAAATGACGCACGGCACCATGTCAGGCTGTCCGTGGTGGCCCGGATCCCGCCGTCATGACTGTATTAGTTTGCTCGGGCTGCCATAACCAAGTACCAATGAGTGGGCGGCTTATCAGTAGAGATTTATTTTCTCACGCTTCTGGAGGCTGAAAGTCCACAATCAAGGTGTTGGCACGGTTGGCTTTTTCTGCGTCCTCTTGCCTGGTACCTGGCCATCTTCATGTTGGCATTTTCTTCACATTCAAATGCTATGTGCCCGTCTGTGTCCTATCTCCTCTTCTGAGAAGAACACAAGTCTCAGTGGATTAGGGCCCACCCATAGGATCTCACTTTCTCTCCACTACCTCCTGCAAGGCCCTCACTCCCTAAATACATTCAGTCACATTCTGAAGGATGAGGGGTTAGGACAGACTTCAGTGTATGAATTTGGGGTGGGGGACGCAATTCAGCCCGTGATAAGGAACAAATCCAAGAGCCTCGTCCAATATTTCCTGTGCACAGATGATTTCATTCTCTCAGAACAGGAAGTGAAAGTTGCGTCATTCTTGTGGCTTCCTGACAGGTGGTCTAGACCAGTGGTCCGCAAGCTCGTTAGGCAACAGAGACAAATATCAACAGGACAACGATAGAAATTTCTTTTGAGAGCCAATTTTTTTTTTTTTTTTTTAAACTTAAACGTCTTCTAATGCCACTTCTTCAAAATAGACTCGCCAGTGCCTTGGTATTTTGTGGAAGAGCCACACTCAAGAGGCCAAAGAGCCACACGTGGCTCGTGGGCCGCAGTTTGCCGACCACGGGTCTAGACTATCGATGTGGCAGGCTTTTTGATGGAAAAGCCTCAGAAGAGAATTACTTTTCTTTCTGAGACTAGAGCTGAGAAACATGATTAGTAATCTCCAGCTAAGCAATATATGTTGTATTAAACTTTTATTGTCAAAGTGATGTTTTGGGGGCCCACCCGGTTTTGCTCAGTGGGTAGAGTTGGCCTGCAGATGTAAGGGTCCTTGGTTTGATTCCAGTCAAGGGTACGCACCTAGGTGGCAGGCTCGATCCTGGCCCTGGTCAAGGTACCTGTGGGAGGCAACTAATCGATGTGTTTCTTTTACAACCGAAGTTTTTCTCTGTGTGTCTTCCCCCCATCCCTTCTACTCTCTCTAAAAATCAATGGAAAAAGTATCCTCAGGTGAGGATTAACAAACCAAGAAACAAAGTTACGTTTTGGGGGACAAAACATAACCTGCAGTTAGGAATCTTTGCACCATGAGTCCTTGTGTATATTAGTTAAGGCAATGCTAGTTACAGTAACAGATAAACCCCTAAATCTCAGGAACTCATACCGTATTTCCTTCTCATATAAAGCCTAGTGGGCAGCAAGGAGGTGGGAGCTTCGATGCACAAAATCATTTAGGCACCCAGGATGGCAGAGATTCTTCAACAAGATTCACGTGGTCGGACTCAACTTAAAAGCAAGACACTGCTCTTCCTAAGATCTGACAGGCAAGAATGACGGAGGAGAATGCCCACCAACCAACACTGGGAAACACTCACATATCAAGGTCCCTCACATATCAAGATTACAGGC